ATATAACTATATATGATTAATAACATATATAATTAGGATAAGAAAATGATTTATCCACTGTTGGATCTACTATCTAGATGTCTCCAGTTGTTTGAAGATATTATACATATATAAGCAGAAAACTGCGACAAACATTAGATACTACATTTAGCAAGAAATATACAATGATGATATATGTATTCGGTCAACTATATACTAAATCTTCTATTTTTTTTTGATTCAAATGAAAGATCATATCGAGAAACTTTTAAATCTAGAATATTAGATTTTTCTGACAAACCTAGAATAAATGCCAAAGATCAGAATTCTTACCTTTTTCGATCCATATCATGAAAACTAAAAAAAATAGTATTTTTGAAAATCTGATGATGCTTTGATATTTTCTCTCCGTCTACTCATCGCTTTGAGTTAGGCTTCGTCTCAAATGATGTAGAAAAGCGCTTTCTACAAAATGGCTTATCTGAGTGATCATTAAAATAATTTGTAGTAGGCGATAGAGTCTTTACAAGGATGCGATTCTGAATCTGAGCATTTTTTTGTGATCCTAACTGTATAATTTGCTCCCTGTAATGTAAACAGTATAGAGGACGCCGTTAAATTTTGAACTAACACGATATGCTTCATTGACTAGGTTTGTTATTGGTATAGAGAGAAACAGAAAAAAAATCAATTTCAATCTCGTCGATACACAATTGCATTGTATTACTTGTTGTATGTTAATGTTAAATTATTAAATATGATAACTCATCGTGAACTATGTTTAGAGGAAAAAATACACCTTATAAAAGAGAAAGATAACGGACTTTCTTATCGACAATTAAATGATAAATTTCAAATATTTTAAAAAGAAAACTCAAAAATGAATTTAATCAACAGTAAAAGATTAAAAATGTGATTTAAATAGAAAAAATGTTTTCTTTGCATAAACCATCTCCTATCTAATCACCCCGTCAATATGAACGATTTATGAAAGTCCCGATGGTGTTCAGAATAGAGGGGTTTTACTGTACTTTATTTAATGACATGTATCAAAGAGATGATCTTTGGCTGCTGAATGATTTTATGATTGATCCCGCACCATTAGCTTTCACATTTGCTCAACTAGCAATAGCTAAAGGTTATGGTCTGTATTTTTTTCTATGTGAAAATATTTAACTATTTGTTTATATTTTAAGTGGGTACGAAAACTTGGACTTCAAATTTCACCAAGTATACGAATACTCACTCAAGCATGCAGTAATTTATAAATTGAATTTTATTTTGAAAATTATCTAATAAAGTTATTATGTAGAATACATATGATTAAAATTGGTGTTCCAGATACATTTAATTTTTCACTCTCACCCGATAATTGGGTTGATTTTCGTAGGTTATCATCATTTTTTTCATCATATATCTATACTTATTTTCTAGATTGGATATTAAATAATACTATCAAACGATTTCCTATTCCGGCTGAAAGTAAATGTAAAACATTAATTACTGACGCTGATAGTTTTATACCGAATGGTCGATTAATAATGAATGAATCTACTGAACTTAGTTATTTATTTAATGAATAGAAATACTTTATAAAATAAAGAAATCTTTAGATTGATAATTATGTCATTACATCCGGTTCTAATGGACATAGTATAGCACTTGCTGGTGCAGCTTATGGCGAAGTACTTGGTTACGAACGTTCACTATTTTTTAAACCAGATGAAGCAGGAAAAAGTATTTTAAAACTAAAAGAGAATACTTTTTTCTAATTTCTTCTTTTTTGTAATATAGAAGATTTTGAAGATTTAAGTAAACAAGGTACATTTGGTAAAGCACGATTGTCTAATACAGTTAAAAAAGAATATAATGCATATAACATCATTTACAAATATGAATTAAAATCAGCAAATCGAAGTGTTGTAAATTTTCTTCAAGTGCTTTGTGCAAATAATATTGATAAACCAGTTGGTACTGTTGTGCATACGGGAATGTTAAATGAACAAGTTGGTTATGAAAGTATCAGTAGGATACGATGTTTTTTTTATACAAATATAAGATTTTTGTTCTCTTATTAGGTTTCTTTTGGTTAGTCCAACTTCGCAACCAACTTGCACTATGAAATGACTTAAAACACATGTACCAGAAGATAATTCTATTTTTCTGTCGAATGTAACTTCACTTTATACAGCATTGAATGTAATTGGATCGAAAGTCAAATGTTTACTATTTGAATTAAGTGATGAAAATTTGAATGATTTTGCAAGAATGACTTATCAAGTAAGTAAAATATTAAGAATGAATCGACTGATGATGATGATGAAAGAGAGAAAGAACAGTAAATGAGTGATAATTAATGTCGCTGTTGATATGCTTTATGTTCTATCAGAAATAAAATATATTTTATACTTGTTGTTGATTATTTTTGTTTTCTAGTATGCTTTATGTGTATACAATATGTCAGTGGAACAAGGTAAAGAATATAGAATAATCAATGGTGAATAATATTGATAAATTCTTATCTATATATATATTAGTTTAGATATTTTACTCAACGAACTCTTCGAATTGAACGTATGGTATCCATCTTGGAGACATTATATTAATAAGAAAACGACACCATTTTATTTAAATCAAGAATATCATATATCATTTGATGTAAAAATAAAATTTAATTAAGTCAAGTTTGTTATTCTACATATATATATATATATAATTTTAGAAAAATTTTATTGGTAAAGTAGCTTCATTAAAACAAAAACAAGATGGTATACAAAAACGATTTGTTCAATTTCTTCTTGAAGATCACAATCTTGATTTAGGTCAATGGTTACTGAAATACTAAGTGGCGAACCTATTTATCGTAATGGTGAATTTTGTAGATTTGTTACCTCTGCAGCATTTGGCTTTACACCTGGAAAACAAGTATAGAATATGAAAAAATAATCTGTCATTTTTATATATATTTTTCTTATCGGTCTGTTTAGGATTTGTTCATGCGCCTTCTTTAAAAAAGATCACAGTCAATTATATTCGTGGAGCTACATATGAAACTAATATAGCAACTAAACGATTAAAAGCACATCCTAATGTCTATCAACCAACTGAAATGGGTCGTACAGTTCTACTATATACAAATTAATTTTTTAATAGTATATCTCGTCAAATCTCAACGAACAGTCAAACTGTATCAATACTTTAAAAACTTTATCTTTTTTATTTTTTCTATATAAGCATTTGTAAAAAGTGTGTTTTTAATATATGTTCATATTTAACGAAAATAAAAGTTAATTTGTGTATACTATTACTGAATCTGAATAACTATGAATATTTGTAAATTATCTTTTTAAAACATCTTCATTTAGTTTTTCATAAATTACAATCGAAATTATTCAGCCAAACTACGTTATTATTTATTTACTTTTCATTTTTTCTTACTTCTATCATTTATTCTTTTCCTTAATAAACAATCGTAAATTTATGTTCAATTCACTAGTTAGAAAAAAGAGTCACTCTCTTTGACTCACTATATACGAACTAAAAAATAAACTGTGTATACCTATATCTACTTATACATATAAAAAATCACTCTCCTAGGGTTACTGCATACGAAATAGAAAATAAAGTGCGTATGTCTGTATCCACCTGTACATAGTCAAGAATCCCATTGTTTGAGTCACTATATACGAACTAAAAAAATAAAGTGCGTATGTCCATATACACCTATGCATATAAAAAAGCACTCTCTTTGCGTCATTATATACGAACTAAAAAAAAACAAAGTGCGTATGTCTATATATTCACTGTGCATACTCAACAATCCCTCTCTCTGCGTCACCGTATAGAAGTTAAAAATAATCTACCGACGTCTTTATCTAACTGTATATACTCAAAAATCCCTTTCATTGCGTCATTGTATACGAGCCAAAAATAAGCTTTATCCCTCTCTACAGCCAGATATGATACTCTCTCTTTATCTCTCTCCGACGACGAAAAAACAACTTTTTTCGTAGTTTGTCTTTGCTTGACGATCGGCGTATATAAAGCCGAAGTAAATCCTTATAATTCACACAACGATATTTATATCTTATTCTCATCCGGCTTCGAACAAAAAGATACTACCATGAATAAAATGGTTAAAGTGGTTGCCTGTATCATTATTTTAATGGCAGTATTTTGCATGATACAGGGTGCGACAATTCAACGTCGTGCTGAAAATAGTGGTCATCATCATGTAATCAACAAACGT